GGGGGGATGGTCACGCCGCAATCCCTTCTCCATTCTCCTCTCGGGATCTTGGGCATGCACGCACACGCGCCCGGCGTGAGTTTTAAGCCACCGGGTCCGGGACACGAACCGCGGTTGACTACGTGGGAGTCCAGTGACATAGCCATTACGCTAACTGCTGGTTCCCCCGAATAAATTGTTTTTATTGTAGTTTGGTTGGAAGCAGTAAATTTAAGTCTGATCACCTGTTCTTCATGTGAACTTGGTATTTTCTTAATCTCTTACCTTTTGTTTATTCATCTGTTTGGAGAGAAGGAAAAAATATCTAATTTAAAGATATATTTTGAGGATTAAATGAGAAGTTTATAAAGCATTTAGTATAGGAACCGGCCTGGACAAGCTCTTAGTCCCGGACCCAGTGGCTTAAACTCACGCTGGGCCCGTGTGCGTGCATGCCCAAGATCCCAAGAGGATCCCCATTCTGGAAGAGTAGGGATTGCGGCATGGCCATCCCTCCTGGGCGTGATTTCTCGCTTTCTAGCTCTCTGACTCTTGCTGTCTTTCTGGTGAGCACACGCGCCCTATAGCAAAAACCTCTCCCCAAAAACAGAATAAATAAAATTTAAATAAATCTTTTTTTAAAAGTTAATATTGTTTCCATCTAGGAACATGTTTTGCCTTTTCATTTATGCATTTTATAATTTTTATAGTTTTTCAAATATAAATTTAGTATGTTTCTTGGTAAGATTATTCTTAGAGTTTTGTTCGCTGATTTTGATTTTTGACTTTTGTTTATTTAATACGTTTTTGCCCTACTGCGTTATCTGGAAGGGAAAGCATTCCCTAGTAGTTCTGTATTCAGATCTTGTGACCTAAAATGATTACTTAAACTTTCTGAGTCTCAGTTCCTTCTCTTGGTAAGATGAGGACAATAGTAGTAGTATGTATGTCATGCCTAGAGTTATTTCTTTATTTTTTTAGATTTTTTGCCAAAGAGTACGTACGCGCGCTCGCCAGAGACAGAAAGCAAGAACTCACCCCTCCGGGGGCAGGCATGGGGAATGAGGGCCATGCCATTCCCCTCCATTCTCCTTTCAGGATCTCGGCCATGCGTGCACATGCGCCTGACATGAATTTTAAGCCGCCAGGTCCAGGACCCAAATCATAGTCACCTACATTGGAGACCAGCAATATAACCATTATGCCATCTGCTGGTCCCTCAGTTTCCTTTTGATGAAAAATCTTGGGCTTCTCCATACTCCAGGCTACTTCTCTAGGCCTTATCCTTACTGATCCACTTTGAGGTTTCCTTCTTTTGAGAAACCAGACACAAGGTCCCAAGGTGCATTAGGAATGCTAATGTGAGACCACCTCCAGCCTTGTTTTCATTCTACTTTTCAGGATACCCAGTTTGCAGACTTGCTCTGATCTCACTTCTGGAGGGAGGAGATATGCCTTTGAACTTGGAGACACAGGATGATCATCCTGCAGAGAGTACCACAGACAGCTCTAAAGGTTAGACCCAGGGTCTGACTGGGTGGAGGATTTGAAAAAGGGGATCTTGGTGTGACCAGACCCTGTCGAGGATGCTCATTTCTCTCTCTTACACACAAGTGCATGTGTGCTCTATCATGAATAATAATATAAAAAAATCTTTATTACAGAAGTACACAGGTTGTATTCTGTGAGGTAAGTTTCTTGTGCACTGGTTACCAACTTGTCAGGTGAGGTAGAGCACCCACCCACAAGTTACATGAAATAGTTTATTACAGAGAGGCAGCCAGGGACAACAGAGCCCAGAATTCATTGTGAGCCAGGTCCATAGTGCTCAAGAATGCTGCCCAGGACAGATGTAGTCTCTTCTGCACAAACTAAAGAGGGGAAAACTGGGTAGGTCCAAAGCCACCCAGAAAACTGTCCTGCATATGCTTATCTTTCATAGATAACGGATATTTACTTGCTTTATGCCCCTCCACTCTTCTGCTGTATTTAAAAGCCATTCAGTGCTAGCCCTGAGCAGGAGTTTCTGTCCTTTTCTTTTTTTTTTTTGGTCAATCTAAAATATACATATATATGTGTGTGTGTGTGTGTGTGTGTGTATATATATATATATGTATATTTTAGATAGACCAAAAAATATATATATGTATATACACATATATATAATTTTATATGTGATTATATGATTATCAAATATATGATTTTACATAAGACTGTATGTGTGTATATATATCAGTCAGATTCCATTATTATACATCTTTATAGCCGCAATCCCTTCTCCATTCTCCTCTTAGGATCTTGGGCATGCACACACACGTGCCTGGTGTGAGTTTTAAGCCACCAGGTCTGGGATGCGAACCACAGTCAACTACATGGGAGTCCAGCGACATAGCCATTACACCAACTGCTGGTCCCAAAGACAGTGTGATTTTTCAATATGCATGTAATACATGACAGTCAAATCAGGGATATTGTTGTATACATCATTTTCAACAGAACTTTACACTCTTTTCTGTTAAATGTTTCTTCTCTTTGCCCTTTCCACCCACTCTCTGCCATCTACTCCCCTCCCTTACAGTCCCTGTTATCCTATCCTCCCCACTATCATATCTTCAGATCTTCTTTTTTTTTCTTTTTAAAATTATTTAATTTTATTTATTTACTAGTTTATTTTAATTTGACCAGAGAGAGAGAGAGGCAGCCACCAGATCCAGAACTCAAACCACAGTTAACCATGTGGGAGTCCAGCATCGTTAACTACCACACCACCTACCAGTCTCCACATCTTCAGATCTTTCGATTCCTGCCATAGAGTGCAGACATTCCATATATATTAAGCCAGCTATTTGAGCTGCATTTTTTTTTCCTAAGAAGTATTCTATTTAACTTTATTTATTTTAATTTGACCAGAGAGGGACACAGTGAGAGAGAAAGGGAAAGTGAAAAAGCAAGCCACCAGGTCCAGGACTCGAACCACAGTCAACCATGTGGGAATCCAGCACCCTTTTAACCACCACACCACCTGCTGGCCCCTTGAGTTGCATTCTTGGTATAGTTTTTCAGACCCTCTGAGATAATAGCTCCATCTGCTGACATTAACTATAGAAAAGCCTGGAGATTTTCTCGAAGTTAACTTGCTTTCTTTGCCCTTAACAATAAGGAAGGTTGCGACCTTTGATCTTGTAATTCTGTTGCCCCCCAGGCCCCCCAAACCAATTTTCATGCCTTCTTCCCAAGTTTGTTGACTAGTTCCTTCAAAGGTTCCAGCCTGGTGGGGGAGGGAGCACTGACTGCAGCAAAGTCATGGAGTTGTTGTAGCTTGGGCTGGGCCCCGGGTGGGTTGGCAGGGAGCAGTGGGCAGCAACAGTGCAGCAGTGTAGGAGGGAGCAGTCTGTAGCTGCTCACATCTGAGAGTCAACCTTTGCTGAGCTCCAGCTCCCTTTTCTAAGTTACCCTGTGATGATAAATTTTTGTAAAAAAAAAAAAAAAATTGTCAGAGGGCATGTTCATTCACCAGAGATAGAGGGGAAAAGTGAGAAAGCACTCCGCATGGGGAATGTCCATGCCACTGTCTCTTCTCTGTTTCTCTCTCCTCTTGGGATTTTGAGCCTTCGTACATATATTGGGCATGTTTTTCAAACTGCTGGACCTGGGACTTGAACCATGGTCTGCCATGTGGGGTCCAGTACCTTAACCACCATGCCACCTGCTGACCCCAGAATTTGTGTTTTCTATTTCTTACGTCAGATGCTGAGACCAACATCCACAACAAGTTCACATCAACACAGGGAATTTCTGAAGAAAGAGACATGATGTCATGTGGGCTGGTGAAGAGTATTTCTCAGGAGTCTGACTTTTCCGAAACGTGTGAAGTGGAGAAGCTCCAGGAAGCTCCTACCATGGACAGTATCAAAGAATGGGATGAAAGAATACACTATGCAAGAAAACCCTTCAGGTGTGATGAGTGTGGGAAATGCTTTAGCTTTTTCTCCTTCTACATTAGACACCAGAGAGTCCACGCTGGGGAGAAACCCTATTCATGTGAAGAGTGTGGGGAAGCCTTTACTGTCAATTCTTCCTTACTTCGGCATCAGAGGATCCATGCTGAAGAGAACCTCTATCAGTGTGAAGCATGTGAGAGAGACTTTAACCATAATGCAGATTTGATTAGCCATCAAAGAATCCACAGTGAGGACAGACCCTATCTCTGCAAGGAGTGTGGAAATGGCTTTCCCACTTGCTCTGAGTTAGTTATACATCAGAGAATCCACACTGGGGAGAAACCCTATGAGTGTGATGAGTGTGGAAGAGCTTTTTCTGTGAAATCTACATTAAGTCGGCATCAGAGAATCCACAGTGGAGAGAAAACCTGTGAATATATGAAGTGTGGGAATCTGTAGGACTTCATACTAGTTATAGTGTTAGGAGTATGCCCACTCCAGAGAGTTGTTCTTTTGACCTACCAACATTTTTACCCCCTTTTCATGGTAATTCTCTACTTTTTTTGAGGAAACCACCACTATGCCTGCACTCAGCAGTTCATGTAGTTTAGGTGAGACTTTCCCACTGCAAGGATGGAACATTTGACCCATCTGCTATGTTCTTTCTGCTTAACCACAATGCTGGGTTCAGGTGAGCTATGTTCACCCAATCAGAATGGACCCTGAGACCAGGCAGATTTACATGGAAGTAACATCGTCTTACTCCGCCAGTCTTGAATGTTAGCTTTGATTCACATGAAGACTAAGAAGGTACCCAGCCCTACAGGTGACATTTTGAGAGAAAGCGAGAACTAAACCTGCTTCTCTATTTTTCAGTGACATGAATCAATAAGTTCCAATTTTTGTTTTGTTTACATAAGTAATTTTACTAATTAAATCTTTATGTATTTTATGAGAAGGAGAGATTAGATTTTTGACAGGGGTTTTCCATATTGTAACTCTCCTACGCCAGCCTCCCAGTTAGCTAGGCATGTACCACTGTGTCTGACCTATGTAGGTTGAGCCAAGAATTGACCTTAGCTTTATGTGTCCTCAGCCTCTCAATAGCAGCATGTTGGTAGTGCACTCTGCTGAGCCTGGCTTAAATAGTTTTGAGTTGAGTTTTGTCACTTGTAACAGCTTCTTTACTGATAAAGAGTCTCGTATATTTTAAAGCCTTCAGAGTCAACATGTGATTTGGCACCATTGAGCCCTTACTGTCGTTAAAATATATTGGTTTGAGAAAGCCTCCATACTCCTGGTTTGGCTTCCTTAAGTAAACTGCAACCTTACTTAGAAGGCTACTGCTTTGATTGGTTGCTAGGGTACAGCTAAGCAGAGCAGCTAGACATCCTGCCTTTTAAACTGTGTTAAGACAGACAAACTTTAAGATGTAATGAATCCAATTGTTCCTTTACCTCATTCCTTCACTTCCATTTTTGTATATCACTTGCCCATTCTGGAACATAAGTATCTCCTACCTCAAGGCTACCTGAAGTCCCCTTGGAAGCCATTCTGGGGTGCCCATTTGAGTTGTGTTTATTCTCGCACAATTAAACTCCACTAAATTGTCTATAAAGTTTTCCTTTTTAACACTATGAACAACCTTTCATATGTATAATGTGTTAGAGTGTCTCTAGTTGTAATTCTTTTTTGTTTTTATTAGATTTTTGCTATGGGGTGCATGTGCTTGCCAGAGAGAAAGACAGAGACAAAAAGTGAGAAGTCACTTGGTGTGGGTGGTGGTGGCCATGCTGCAATCCCTCCTCCATTCTCCTCTTAGATTTTAGGCGTTGCACGCACACACACCAGGCATGAATTTAAGCCACCGGGTCCAGGACTTGAATTCTGGTCAACTATGTGGGACTCTAGAAATGTAGCCATTATGTCATCTAGTTGTTATGCCATCTGCTGGTCCCTCTCGTAATTCTGATGGCTTGCACAGAAGCACATATTCTTAAGTACTGTGAAAGTGGAAAAGCCATTTAACCACTAGTTAAACCAGATATATATTCAGATATCTCAAATAGATGGAACTTACAAGCACTGTAATGAAAATCAGAAATTCTCTATAGAACTGTATTTTTATTGATAAATATCCTGTAGGGAAGATGAATGTATTAAATAGAAAAGGTTAACAAATTTTTTGGGGGGGGTGGTTTGCTATAGGGCATGTGCACTCCCCATAAAGACAAAGACAGCAAGAAATCACCCCCCACCCCCACCCCCCAGGATGGCCAAGCTGCAATCCCTTCTCCTCCATTCTCTCTGGATCTTGGGCACGCATACGCACACGTGCCCGGCATGAGTTTAAGCCACTGGGTCCGGGACTCCTCCATTCTCTCTGGATCTTGGCCATGCATACGCACACGTGCCCAGCATGAGTTTAAGCCACTGGGTCTGGGACTTGAATCACGGTTGACTACATGGGAGTCCAGCAACATAGCCGTTATGCCAAGTACTGGTCCCGTATTAATAAATTTTATTTTCTACTCTAATAGAAACGGGTGCTAAGTTTTTATCTTATTTTAGATCTTTTAGGGTGATACTTCTGGTGGTGTAGTGGTTAAGGTTCTGGACTCCCATAGTGGGACCTGCTAGGCTGAACACATTTTTGAGTGGGGAACGCTGTGGATTAGAAATAAATGCAACAACAAAGACTCACAAGTATGGAAAAGCAAGGAGGATCCAGTGGGCCCAACTTCTCTGATAAGAGAAGTTGCAACCAGGAACTGGCCTCAGGTGTATTCTTTTAAAGGGCACAATATGGGTGAAGAGGAAATGGAATGAGAAGCCAGTTGCTTTTGGATGTAAATCATCTGAAGATGTGAAAATGCTAGTACCACTAGCACCCTGTAATTTAATTTATCTGATCTTTTTGGGTCGAAATCAGATAAACAGATGTGGCTCCCTTTAGCCTGATACTGCCAGACAGTATCAGGTATTGGGTACCTATTGACAACAGGAAGCTAACCTACAACGGGCAAATTGCGTTTTTTTCTTTTCTTTCTTTTTTTTTTTTTGGAGAGATTTTCACTATAGGGTGCGTGCGCTTGCCAGACAGACAGAGACATAGAGACAGAAAGCGAGAAATCACCCCCCAGGGGGGATGGCCACGCTGCAGTCCCTTCTCCATTCTCCTCTCGAGATCTTGGGCACGCACGCACGCTCATGCGCCCGGCGTAAGTTTTAAGCCACCGGGTCTGGGATGTGAACCGTGGTCGACTATGTGGGAGTCCAGTGACATAGCCATTACGCTAACTGCTGGTTCCCGGATTTCGTTTTTTTTGGGAGAGGTTTTTGCTATCGGGCATGTGGGCTCACCAGAAAGAGACAGACATCCCCTGGGGGGATGGCCATGCAGTAATCCCTTCTCTTCCATTCTCCTTTATGGATCTTGTGCAAGCCCAGTGTGAGTTTAAGCTACTGGTTCCAAGACTCAAACTGGTGGACTACATGGGAGTCCACTGCTGATCCCCCAGATTGTGTTTTTTCATATGCAAATACTCATAGCATTGTTAATGAAGCTCATAGAATTGCTTTTCCTTTCTGCATGCATCTAAAGGTCACCACGTTTTCTCAGATTGTCCGCTCTCCACAGTTCCACATGGTCAACCGTGGTTCTAGCCCTGGACCCAGCAGCTTGAAAATCACACCGGGTATGTGTGCATGTGTGCCAAAAATCCAGAGAGGAGAATGGAGGGGAAGGAATTGAGGCATGGCCATACCCCTCCTTGAGGGTGGTTTCTCCCTCTCTTGTGTCTCTATCTGGCAAGCGCATGTGCCTGTTGGCAAAAAAACATATACACACACACACACACATACACATATTTACCTTTTTTGAGGTTGATTTTTGCTATAGGGTGAGTGTGTTCACCAGAGAGAGACAGATAGTGAGAAATCAGCCCTCCAGGGGCAATGTCCACACTGCAATTCCTTCTCCAGTCTCCTCAGAATCTTGGGCATGCACACACATGTGCCTGGCATGCGTTTTAAGCCGCCGGGTCTGGAACTTGAACCACCATTGACTGGGAATATTACGCCACCTCTGGTCCCCTTCAACTTTAAAGCCAGTAACTTGCGGCCAAGTCTTCACGTTCTCATTTTCGTTCTCTCTTTAAAGTCAGCTGATTAACAATCTTATTTTCATCTGCAACTTCATTTTCTTGTCACATAACCTAACATACCCACAGGCTCTAACGGTTACACATTCCTAGGGGAGAACCAGTTTGTATATAAGAAAAATAAGGAGTGATTGTAGTTGGTTATGAGCTTTCTTTTGAAGATGACGAATGCACTCTAAAATTGTTATACTTTTACAAGTCTGATACCCTAACAAATGTTGGATTTTACACCAATATTTTTTAAAGAGATTTTGCTATAGGGTGCATGCACTTGCTGGACAGACAAAAACAGCAAGAAATCATCCTCCAGTGGATGGCCACACAGCAATCCCTTCACTCTCAGGGTTTTGGGCATGTATGCACACAAACCCAGTGTGGGTTTTTTTTTTTTTTTTTTTTTTGGGGGGGGGGGGTAGTATAGGGTCCAAGCACTCTCCAGAAAGCCAAAGAGAGATAGAAGGCAAGAAATCACCCTCCAGGGGCATGGCCATGTCACAATCCCTTCTCCATTCTCTTCTTGGGATCTTGGGCACACATTCACACGCACCCGGCATGAGTTTAAGGCACTGGATCTGGGACTCAGACTGTGGTCGACTACATGGGAGTCTAGCAAAGTAGCCATTATGCCAACTGTTGGTCTCCCAGTGTGAGGGTTTTTGTTTTTTTTTTTTTTTGAGAGAGGTTTTTGCTATAGGACGTGTGCGCTTGCCACACAGCCAGCCAGACAGAGACAGAGAGACAGAAAGTGAGAAATCACCCCCCTCCCGGAGGTTGGCCACGCCACAATCCCTTCTCCATTCTCCTCTTGGGATCTTGGGCACGCATGTACATGCACCCAGCGTGAGTTTTAAGCCACCGGGTCTGGGACGCGAACCACAGTCGACTGTGGGAGTCCAGTGACAGCCATTACGCTAACTGCTGGTCCCCCAGTGTGAATTTTAAGGCAGTAGGTCAGGAACTCAAAACAAGGTTGACTACATGGAAGTTCGGTGACATAATAATGCCATTTACTAGTCCTGAGTTTTATACTTTAAATGGATGGATTGAGACCAGCAGGTGGCGTGGTGGTTAAGGTGCTGGACACTCCCACATGGCTGACCACGGTTTGAGTCCAGGACCTGGCAGCTTCCTTTGTCCCTTTTCCTCTCTCTGTGTGTGTGTGTGTGTGTGTGTGTGTGTGTGTCTGGGCAAATTGAAAAAATAGGGGGAAAATAATGATAATAATAAAGTTAAATAAAATAATTTTTTTAAAAAAATTTAAAAATAAATAAATAATAATTGAAAGAAAAATTGATAGATTGAATGGTATGTTTTATACATGTATACATATATGTATATATACATCTTTAGATTTTTCCCATAGGGTGTATATGCTCTGGAGAGAGAGAGGGGAAAGAGAAATTACTCCTCAGGGCAATGGCTATGCTGCGATCCCTTCTTCATTCTTCCTTCCGCATTTTGGACACAGATGCAACTGTGCCTAGAATGATTTTCAAGCAGAACCACAGAGTTGACCATGTGGGATCCAGTGCCTTAACCACCATGCCACATGCTGATCCTCTAATGCCAGAATTCGTAACCTTCCTGCCAGAACTAGCTTCTCTTCCTTAATTCCTGATCTCTGTTAATGGCCCCTTCACCTATCAGGTCATCTAAACTTACTAGGTTCAAGACCAAACTGCACAAGTGTGCTTTCTGTCTCTCTGTGTCTTTCCGGGGAGCACATGCGCCCTATAGCAAAAACCTCTCCAAAAAAAAAAAAAAAAAGTTATTTAGAAACAAACTGGGGGGAGGGGTGTACCAGCAGGTGGCAGTGGTTAAGGTGCTGGACCATACTGACCATGGCTCAGGTCACGGACCCGGTGGCTTGCTTTCTCACTTTCTCTCTTTCTGGTCAAATTAAAATAAATTGAATGAATAAAATTGAATAAAATAATTCTTTATAAAAAATTAAAAAAACTGGCGATGGCAGGTGGTGTGATCATTAAGGATGCTCGCTGGACTCTCACGTGGCTCACTGTGGTTTCAGCCCTGGACCTGGCGGCTGGCTTTCTCATTTTCTCTCTCTCTCTCTCTCTCTCTCCCTCCCTCTCCCTCTCTGGTCAAATTCAAATTAAAAAACAAACAAACAAACACACACACACACACAAAAAACAAAGCAAAACAACTGTATTGGAACCAGAAGACGGTGGAATGGACTTGTCATACTTCCATTTGGGGAACCACTGTTCGAGTCCCAGACCCAGTAACTTGAAGCTCAGCGGGGCCCAAACTCCTGAGAGGAGAATGGAGAAGGGATTGCAGTGTGGGTATCCCCCCTGGAGAAGAGATGTGCTTTCTCTCTTGTGTCTCGTGAGCACACACGCCCTGTAGCAAAGAATCTCTCTAAAAGTAATTCATCTTTTAGTTAAAATTAAAAAAAGGTGGTGATGCAATAATGTATCGTTCCAACGTGATAAAATGAAACAAGATCTAAAGGTCGGCCACATTAGGGATCAGCATAGCCCACATTTTGAGATCTGCATCCACTGTAACATGTGATGAAAATATCTGTGATTTCTATTGGTGACAGTCACAGGGGCTGTCTGATACTACTGTGGTTCGTTGCCAACACCCAAAGGAAATAAACGTTCGATTTCCGTGGGAGACAGCAAAATAATACGTCCTCTTCCACTCAAGATGTCGAAGTCTCTTGGGTTAAACGCCCCGCCCCGACTCCGGGCCGGAAATAAAGCCAGAGAATCACCGAGAGGGGCGCTCTGGCGTCCTAGAGGGGAAGCAGTCGAGGCGCTGGCCCGTGGTGACACACTTCCGGCCGCCTTTCCCTGAGGTGAGTGGGGCGTGCTGCTCTGGAGTCTCGACTAGGCTCGCTCTTTTCAGGACTGGGAAAGCCGCGTGTTTCGTCTCCGATGTGGCGGTGGAGCGAACCTGGGTGTGGCGGTGGAGCGACCCTGGGTGGGCCCTTCGGGTCCGGGGAGCGGAAGCAGCCTGCGCGCCAGTCCGGTGGCCTCGGCTGCCTTCGCTCCCCCTCGCCTTCCCCGCCTGGGCGCCCGCGCTGGGAAATGGAGGCTATGAAGGTGGGCGGCGGCCGGGAAGGAGAGCCCCGTGCGCCCGGGCGTTACTGAGCGACTGTGTTGCTGTTCGGGCTCGGGGGCGCAGCTGCTCCCGCCTCCGGGGAGCTCTAGGGTATTGAGAGTCACGTATTACCCAGATCTGCCGTTTCTCTGCACCTGTGTGTAACGCTGCGGCTCTAGCCCCTGCTCCAGGTCAGAGACCGAGCCCGTGACTTGCACACGGCCTTACATGGCTCGGTCTCTTGCACATTCTTTAGCGTCATCTTGCAGTATAGTCCCTTGGCTATGCTGCAGCCTTCTTTATCCTTTCTAGAACACGTTTTCGTACATACTGCTAGTTTCGTGATTTCCCGTTTAACCTAGTTGATACCTGTTCTTAATGTCTCTTTCGACTAAACTCTTGAAGGAAAAAGAATCTTCACTCTTAACTCCTGTTGAACACTTAGTCTGGGAGTCAGTGTACATGTGATGTGTTTGTTGAATGAAGTACAAATAAGTGTAATCTCAGACTGGGAGAAGTTGTGTACAAAAAGGGACTCCTTTGCTAGTGGAGTGTGTAAGGGGCTAGGGACCCCACCTGGTCTGCAAGGGGTTCTGATCCAAGGATGAGCTGGAATTTCCTGGGTCCCAAAGAGTGGTCAGGTGACTGGAGAGTGCTGCTGGTGAAGAATTCCAGTTACAAAGATTTTGAGGTTGGAGACGAATATTCAGAGGAAACAGGCCAGTGTGACTAAGTGGACTTGGCCAGGATAAGAAGGTGAGTGTAGTGCAACTATGATGCCTAGAGCCTTTACAGGGAAGATTCTGGGGTTTGGGTAGAATGTGGTTGTTTAGTGAGAATACAAAATGTCTGTAGGGAATGATATTAGTTAATAATCTAAACATTTGGCATGTTGAGGTGACCTTTCAGAGTTCTTTCTGAAATCTGCTTTTGGTCATTCCTGGATCCTAGAATGGAAAAGGAGAAAAAGAAAGGGGAAAAAAAATCCTTTTCCTAGGTCCAAGAAAAGGGAGCCTTACTCTGACAGTCTGTTTTTTTTCTCCCACAAATTTTTTTCCCTGAGATTCTTCTTTTGAATTTTCTTGGCTACTGTTATCTTTTTATATTAACATTAGACAGTTTTCAGGTTTTAAAAGAAATCTCTTGGGATTTTGTTGAGAAATAAAATTCAGTGTAGTTATTTAAAGTGTAGCCTTTAGGATCTGGCAGATCTGGTATGGGATCCAAGTTTATCCATCCGCCAGCTGAGTTTATACACCACTTACTCAGTGGGCACTTAGCGGATGATTACTGCTGCTGTTGACAGGCGTGTTGGTTTGAAGGTGAGCCTTTTTTAGGCAGGGCTCACTCTTGGTTCTCTTTGCTTTTTTCTTCAGCCCCTGGCCTTCTCTGAGATGGAGCCTAGGTGATGACAGCCATGCCCCTGAATGCCCGGCACCAGGTGAGCTGTGAATCTCTTGAGATCAGCCTTCTGGAGAAATGATTTGGAGGAAATTGGGGGTGATAGAGGTGATTCCAACAAGTTGAAGAGCCACAGCAGTAAGAAAACCCCTTTTGATTTATTCTCATAGTACTGAATGCTAGGGGAGGAGCTGATGGTGAGGGCTGAACAGCTAGACTCCAGGACTTATGAAGAAGGAGACGAGAGAGATGCCCTGGATAGCAGAAGTACAGCCTTGTGCATGCTGAGGATCTCTGCTGAGTCAGAGGGTCCCCACATCCAGCTTCTCTGACCAGCCCTGCAGATGGATCTGTGATTCAGGCTGATGATGTAGGCATCCAGGAGCGATCATGATCAAGAGGTTTTGGAAAGTGGTGGCAGACTGTGGCAGGAAGAAGGCAATAAAAAGAAAGGAAAGGAAGAAAAAATAGCCTGCCATGGTCCAGCCTCGATGGGGGTGGGTTGACTCGTTGGAGGCGGTGAAGGAAAGGAAGAATAAGGTCTCGGTGCCTTTTCATGCACGTCCTCAGCCGGACACTCCCAGAGATTGCTCTCTGAGGAGTGACAACTGTTAGGAATCATCGTGCCTTTTTATTGAAAATGTGATACATGCAAGTAAATGGGTGAGGGGATACGTGTTCTAATTATCAATTCATAAAGTTTTAACAATAGAGACCATTCAGGATTTGATTAAGGGCAGGTCTGTTAATCATCGATACAGTTCAACAATTGTTTGATTGATGAAAGCAGGTTCCTGGTAACTTCAAGCAGTGCAGTTTCAGGAAACAATTCCAGCAAGCAGTTAATTATCAGCTAATGTTCAGCAGCAGCCGTCTTATGATTACTAAAAGAAAATCTCAAGCATAGATATTAGTTCTTATGGATTTTCATAAAGAATGATACTTATATAATTCTATAGGGATCTAAAACTTAAGGAATCCTAATATATTTACCTATCCTGAAGGGGTGAAGTTATTATTCACTTGGTGAGGGCGGGGACAGTTTTTTCAACTGGAGGTAAAGTGACTAATAAGTTAATGAAAAACTTTAAAATGGGTTTATGATGTTGTGGATTCACTTGTGTAGCCCATGGCACCACTGTTGTATATTTTTGTTAGAACATTAGTTACCATGGGACGAGAGTGTCCTAGGCCAGTTTCAGCCTAGTCCTATTATATGTAAAAAGGTTATTTATATTAAATGTGTCTTGAAGGGTCTTCCAAAGGTCAAGAAGAACTTTAGCACACCCTTTACTGTGCCCAATGAAGTGCTGTAATTAACAGTAAGTGGTCAGGGTAAAGGGGAGCAGTCGGAGAAACTTTTGGGAAATCTTATCACACACTCAAGATGTATGAGGGAGCTATAATTCTTTTATAGTAGTAAATTGGGGAGTCAGAGGGGGGTCACTTCCCAGCAAGGCTATCGCAGTTTCCGGAACATATTGACCCAAGCTTTGTTCCTAGGTCGGGGCGGGGGGGGGAGGTGTGTGGGCGGGCATATAGTAGCGGCCTTGCCAACGTACTGAACCGACCGGAAGCAGTGCTCAAAGGTCAGGGGGCTCAGACAGATCCTGGAGCCCCGCTAGGTCGGACTCCTCTAATAGCCTATGCATTTGTTTTCTGGGGAAAAAAAATAGAAGTTTGGGCTTCAATAATATATATTTCTATGAGGTCAGTACTGCTGGCCAAGTGGACTGCAATAGGGAAAGCTACACTAGAAGAGAACTCTCGATATTAGGGAGCCTAGTGATCCTGGTGGCTATGTGGCCTCGTGCTAATTACTTAACCTGTGCGTCTTAACTGGCTTCTTGTAAAATGTGCATTTATAAATTGCACATATTTGGAACAGGAGAAATTGATTTCTTGACTTGCCTTTTTTTTTTTAAAGGGATTTTTCACTATAGGGCATGTGTGTTTGCCAGAGAGACAAAGTGAGAAATCACCCCCTAGGGAGATGGCCATGCCACATTCCCTTCTCCATTCTCTTCTCAGGATTTTGGGCACCTGGTATGAGTTTTAAGCTGCCGGGTCTGGTATTTGAACTGCCATCAACTATATGGGAGTCCTCCAACATAACCATTTCATTACTGCTGGTCCCAATTTCTTGACTTACATTTTACTTTTTGAGACTGATGAGTTTCTGGGTGTTGCTTTACCATTTCTTCCGAGGTTGTCTTATTCAGTAATTTGGCATCCATGAACCATAACCCAATTTAGAGTTTCAGATTTTTCTAATTTCTTTTTTTTTTTTTTAAAGAATTTTTTATTTGACTTTATTTATTTATTTTAATTTGGCCAGAGAGGTTAAGAGAAAGAGTGAGAAAGCAAGCCGCCAGGTCCAGGAATTGAACCATGGTCGACCATGTGGGAGTCCAGCACTCTTTAACTACCACGCCACCTGCCAGCTCCCAGATTTTAATTTTTCAGCTACCTGTACTTGACTCTCTTACCAGTATGTTGTCTTCCTTGTAGTTCCCATCCTCTTCTCATTTTCTACAATTCACCAATACCCACGTTGTAGTCCTGATTGCTCAGTTTCTAGATTGCTGACTGTTAACTGTTCTCCCTTGATTGCATTTCCAGAAGGCCCCCCACATCCTGTTGTTTCTGCCACTTGTTCATCTTGTATATTACCCCCTTTTGGGGTTTGCCATCCCTTCTCTGTGACTTCGCAGAACTCAGGAGATTTCTCTGTGTGAAGTCGGAGCCTTTCCATCTCACCTGCTCGTCACCTGATACAGCTCAGTTTCTGAGCTTAGATTTTATCCTCTAATCTGGGGTTCTCAAGCTTTATTGAGTGTCAGAAACATTTGGAGGACTTCATTAAATTCATTAGAGCATATATTTCTCTCTGGATGGCGTCCAAGAATTTCCCTGCCCCCCCCCTTTTAAGGTTTTTGCCATAGGGCACATGCACTTGCCATAGACAGAAAGGGAAAGTGAGATATCTCCTGTTGAGATATTTGGGGCACACAGGCACATGCACCTAGCATGATTTCAGGCCACTGGATCCGCTACTTAAACCACAGTTGGCCATATGGGGGTCCAACATCCTCACCATGATGCCACCTGCTGACTCCCAAGAATTTGCCTTTTTAACAGGTTCATAGGTGATGCTGCTGTTAGTGGTGCTGCTAAAGTGGGGAACCACACTCCGATAACTGCTATCCTGGTTAGTGGTGATTTATTCAAGAGATTCACTTAGAAGTGGACAGGGTCAGATCATCAGCTGGATAGTGGATGGATTCAGTGCAGGACAAGCCTGGAATTCAAGCTGTGTAAGTGTCCCCAGCTATGTACTGATTGTACCATGGTAAAGGAGTCAGCTTATGGAAATGTTTCAGAGACACAGTTGACTGGCTCTGATTACCATTTGTCAGAAATGAATAGTGACCAGGGTAAGATAGTTTAAGATGAGTCTCCAGTTTCTAGCCCTGGAAACTGGGCTGAAATTCGCACTATTCGCTGAAAGAAAACAAACTCACTGTACCAGTTAGTTTATATGTATTAGAAAGGAGCCATTGTGGGGGAAGGTAAGTTTGATGCCCAGTTGTGTGTCAGATGTGCTGGGCCATACAGAGAGTCTGAAGCAGTACTGGCAGGAGTGGGAAGTGAGCAGATGCAGAATCAGGGGAGATACTGGGGTAGGAGGGTATTTATTGCACCTCCAGGTAACTAGGTTTGAGACCAAAGTGTAAGGAATGATTAGTGACTAAACCAGATGCTGAGAAGATTGAGTTGGGACCATCTAGGTGAGGAAAGGGTAGCTATTGAAAAAGTATGAGGCTTTGTTGGTTGGTAGAAGCTATTACAGATTATTCTGGAAGTGTAAAGATAAGCAGCTCAAGAGCTATCTAGCAGCAGCAATTAGATTCCAGAAGTACCTTTCTTCTCTTAGGCCCTTCAGAGACCTGAATGACCATGCCAGGCAGCACTGAGCTCCCCCTGCTGGATGTTCTTGAACACAGGCAGAGCAACCCCTTATTCAGGATTAGGTAGGGACTGGATGAGATTGGCCCTTGAGGGCAGCCATGACTATCCCTGTTTGATGGGCATGAGGTTTGGGGCAGAGTGAGCACACACAGAGAACAGATAGAAGAGCAGGTGGGGACAGGAACATATGGGTCCTGAGATGCCGCTTGTGTGTGGGTATCTAGACAGATCAGTGCTGACTGTCTGCTTATACTGGCAACAACAAGAGGCTGAAAGTATTTACAAAATTAAAGACATTTTGTTCTGTTAGGGTTACTTGATGGTTGACTTTTCCCAGGGTTTTCGAAATTGCACATCTTGTAACAGTAAATTTTATGTCCTAAAGGAAACTATTCTGGTAGAAGGTCCAGATTATTGGTTGTAGGAATAGTCTTCTAATGGTCTGATAACCAGGTTTTTGTTTTTTTTTTTTCACCTTTTCTCATTACCCATCCCCTCAGACTCCTTACTGTTCCCTTTCCCCCAACTCTGGCCCAGAGCTAGAGGATTGGCTCTGGGACAGCAGGAACCTATTGTTCTAGGATGAGGTGACCTTCAAGGATGTGGCTGTATACTTTACTTGGACAGAATGGGCTGACCTTTCCCCTGCCCAGAGAGCCCTGTACAGGATTGTGATGCTGGAGAATTATGGGAACTTGACTTCCCTGGGTAAGGCCATTTTCCTTCTGGGACTCTGATCTGTACTTTCTGGTTTCCTTCCATCCTTTTCTCTGTACGGACTAGGGTATGGTGTGGTATCCCAGGTATCCTCTGGCTCAGTGAGTCACTTTAGAGATTGTTAGGTGAGGAAAGGATTTGGGTCAGTTTGGTTCCAATTTAGGGAATTGCTCTTCCTCATGAAAAAGTGTCCTTTCCTCTATAGGGCCCTGCATAGTAAGAAGCATGTTGTTTCTGTTGTCTAGGGAAGAGTGAGACCCCCTACCTGGTATTGGCATGAGCCTTGCAGGATCTCACTAATACATCGACCCTTCAGTGTTTTTAGGAAGTGATCAGTAATGCTCAGTCCTTTCTTGATTAGATTCTCTGAAGCTTTCCCTAGTCCTTAACCCTTTTCTGTGGGCCTTATTCTTACTGAGATTTCTGAGGTTTTCCTTCTTTTGATGTAGCAGATACAGGACTACAAGGTGCCATTTTATTTCCCTTTTCAGGATACCCAGTTCCAAAACCTGCACTGATATCACTTCTGGAGGAAGGGGATTTGCCTTTGGGTCTGCAAGCACAGGGTGAGTAAGTGAGGCAGATGTCCACGAACAGCATGAACCTGTTGGGCAGGATTTAAATAAGACAGTTGACTTCACTTAATAGTAAAGTAAACCTTTCACACCAGTTTTTTAACTCTTATTGACATATTACCACTTGGGACTGGCAGGTGGTATGGTGTTGGGGGGCACTGGAGTCTGCAATTTGAGTCCCGGACCTGGTGGCTTACTTTCTCACTTTCCCTTTCTCTCTCTCTGTTCAATTTAAAAAATAATAAATGGAATTAATATGTTTATTACCACTCAATACAGCTCATCTATAATTGTCCCCCCCTTTTACTCATAATATGGCACTTACATGCATGTGTATAAATGTGAGAGAGGGAGAAAGAGCATCCTGCACAATGTCTGGTCACACCACAGTCCCCTTCCTCCAGCCATTAGATCCGGGGCATGTATCCATGCACATACCGGGCATGTTTTTTTGCTAAGCGGACCAGGGATTCAAACCATGGATGCTATGTGAGATCCAGCTTCTCTTAAGCAGTGTATCAGTGCTATGGCTTCATGTAGAATCTTTTTTGTTTTAAAGAATTATTTAATTTTATTCATTCATTCATTCATTTTAATTTGACCAGAGAGAGAGAGAGTGAGAAAGCAAGCCACCAGATTTAGAACTCTAACCATGGTCAGCCATGTGGGAGTGTCCAGCGCCTTAAACACCACACTACCTACAGTCTTGAGTCCCATCTATATAGAGTCTTGAATCTGTGTCTCTTTTCTGAGTTTTAGCACTTCCTCGCTTGGTGGTCTTTTTTCCTTAGATGGAATAGAATTTTTTCAAGAACAGTTTTTGAGCACTTGCCATATGCCAAACTTTAAGAAGCTTCAGGCTACAAGTCATGTGTTCATTCTGACAGATTACAGTGGTTTTCAGTGGGGAAAAAGAAAGTAGACGATCCGGCTTGAGGAAGGGAGTAAAGGATCCAGCAAGTCATTATAAAGAACTTGGCAATTTAATGTCCTTTCGTTGCAAGACAGTTAGCTGGGGGGGCATATTTAGAATGGATGTTTCTGGTGCCCACCTGCAAATGTTCTGTCTTTCCTAGTAAGCATTGTAAGAGCAAGAGCTTAGGACTTTCATTTCATGACTTCCTAGGAACCGGGGCTGGCAGTCTGCACATTACCCTGAGCCCTTTTACTTGGCCAACAGTGTAGGTGAATATGGTTGGCGCATTCTACAAACTCAGCATTTTGTGGAAAATCTAGAATGCAGAGTTTGTGGTGGACCTGAAGGGCTCTATCCTGGAAAACTATAGGAAAAAAACAACAACAAAACTATAGAAATAGACAAGTAGGCAAAACAAGAACAGAGAATAGGAGATGGAACAAGCAGGCAAAGCAGTATGGGGCAGAAGCAGTGATCCCACCACAGTGCCTTGGCACTAGTGAACATGGCCCATAATGGCTGTTTTTTGCTTTGTTTTGTTTTGGAAAGGTTTTTGCTATAGAGCGCGTGTGTTTGCCAGAAAGACAAAGACAGAGAGAGAAGCAAGAAATCAGCCCCCAGGGGGATGGCCACGCTGCAATCCCTTCTCCTCCATTCTCCTCTTGGGATCTTGGGCATGCACGCATATGCGCCCGGTGTGAGTTTAAGCTGCTGGGTCCGGGACTTGAACTGTGGTTGACTACATGGGAATCCAGCGACATAGCCATTATGCTAACTGCTGGTCCCACACATTCACTTTTGATTGAGCAAATCAGGTATGAGATAGCGGTGATATAAAACTGGAAGGTAAAATTGACCGGCTCTTACCAGAACTTGGCCAGAAAAGGGAGATTTGAGTCAGATAGCACTGGGGAATCATGAATTGGGTAGGACTCTGAATTCTTATGAAATGAGATCACAACACAAGAGCATGAAAGTCTTCCAGAATATATAAGCAGATGCTTAGAGCAGACCACTGAGAAGGCAGGTGTAGCTCTGAGAAAAATGTCAGGTTTTAGTGGCTGGCAGGTGACATAGTGGTTAAGGATGCTGGACTTCCACTTGGCCGACTGCAGTTTGAGACCTGGACCTAGGGAATTACTTTCTCACTTTCTCTCTTTCTCTCTGTCCCTGTCTGGTCAAATTAGAGAGCGAGCGAGAGAGAGAGTGAGTTAATAAAATCTTAAAAAAAAAAAAAAGTCAGGTTTGAGATCATAGATGCAAGTGTACTCTCTCAGAGCTAGGTCAAAATGATCTCCAGAGAGAAAAGATGAAAGCTAAATCTTAAATATTAAGAGATAATTTAAAGAGAGATTTTTCCTATAGAGTGTGTGCACTTGCCAGAGAGACAGAGAGAGACAGAAAGGAGAAATAATCCCCCATGGGGGCTGGCCACTCCACAATCCCTTCTCCTCCATTCTCCTCTCAGGATTTTGGGCACACACACACCTGTGCCTGGTGTGGGTTTTAAGCTGCTGGGTCCAGGACCACAATCAACTATATGGAAGTCCAGCAATGTAGCCATTATGCTATCTACTGGTCCCAACTTTTAATTTTTTGAAGAGAGATTTTGCTATAGGGTGTGTGTATTTGCCTGAGAAACAGACAGAGCTAGAGATAAAAAGTAGAAATCTGCCCCCAGGGGGGACAACCACGTTATAATCCCTTCTCCATTCTTTTGCACACACACATACGCACCCAGCGTGAGTTTCAAGCCTCTGGGTCCAGGACGGCCAGGTGGAAGTCCAGCGACGTAACCATTACACCATCTGCCTGATCCAAGAGATATTTAATGTTAGTGATGGGAGGAGAGAGGGTAGATAGTCAAGTAGTCAGAAGAGGGCTACTGAAATACCAGTGAAATTGAAGGCCAGGGTAGGTGGTTTTCAGAGAGTAAACGGGAGGCGACTGAGTTGAAGCAGCACTTTAGCCTCTCACTTTGATAAGTTCAGGAATGAAAAGAAAGAAAGTTCAGGAATGAAAGAAAATACAGTAAACAGTGGATTTTTTTTTTTTTTTCCTGCTCTAGCATGCATGTGCTTGCCAGAAACAGAAAAAGAGTAAGAGAAAGTAAGAAATCACCTTCCCAGGTGGGATGACCATGCTATAATCCATGTTTCCACTTGAGATTTTGAGCATTCATGCACAAACACCTGACATGATTTTCACGCCACCAGGTCTGGGACTTGAACTGTGCTATTAGCCATGTGGGATCCAGTGTCTTAACCTCCATGCCTCTTTGTCCACCCTTTTTGATTATGACTGAGTAGGCGTTATGTTTTGCACCAAAATCCTGTGCACTCGTGAAACTGGAGTGTCAGGAAACAGAATTTATCTATACCATTGCAGTGTGTAAATTTTCTCTTCTGTTCTAATTTAAATAAATTATTTCACTTAAATTGTTTGAAATGATGCACTGTCAATTTCATGATTAATGACTAGGCAGTTTGGGAAACTGCAAGAAAAAATTGGTTATGAAAGGATCATCAGTAAGCCCCATCAGATACAACGATCCTGGGAGGGAGACTGAAGACAGTTGGGGCTGGCAGAGCAGTATACCAGAGGATGGGGAGGAGCCAGCAGCAGGGGCGGCTGGGAAGTCTGAAAGTGAGTGGGTGATTTTTGGGTCAGGAGGAGGTTGGAAGTGGAAAAGAAAGAAATTGAGGCACTGAACCTGGGAAGCTTGGGTTTCTTTCAGCAGGAAGGAGGTGACAGTGACTGGAGACCTTGATGATGGGAGGCCAGTGGGGTATAGGAAAAGTGGAGGTTGCTTAGAAGCACTACCGTGAGGATCCTGATCAAGATGACTGGTGGGTGGAATATGGGAAGCAGGGGGTAGTTTTGGGGTTATAAATTACTTGGTCCTGGTTTTATGACATTGAATAGCCTAGTAGAAAGAAAGAGGAGGGATGTGAGAACAGACTAGCGCATTCTCAATCTTCTTGATCACTTTTTTTTTGTACAATTACCATGTTTACTTCAGTGTCAGATCTCTTTAAACATTATCTTGAGGTCTCTTTCTCATTTAACTCACACTCATAGCAAGAATTTGATTAGTCATCTGACAAATATAAGATAAACTAAATAATTGTTAAAACAAAGTTAGTGGGACCAGCAGGTGGCCTGATGGTTGAGGCGCTAGACTCCTATCTGGCTGACTGTGGTTTGAATCCAGAACCTGGCGGCTTGCTTTTAAACTTTATTTCTCTCTGTCTCTCTCCAATGAGTGCACATGCCCTATAGCAAATTAAAATAATATTAATGATAATAAATAAAATTAAAAAGTTCTTTTTTAAAAAGTACATTTTTGGGGCCGGCAAGTGGCATGGTGGTTAAAGGTGCTGGACTCCCACATAGCCAACCACAGTTCAAGTCTCGGACCTGGTGGCTTGCTTTCTCACTTCCTCTCTCTCTGTCTCTCTCTGATCCAACTGGAAAATAATAATGATAATAACAATAAATAAAATAATTCTTAAAAAAAAAGGTGCAGTATTTTATATAAAATAGATCCACCTTAACTTGGTTAAAACGTCATCCAGTCTTGGGACCAGCAGTTAACGTAATGGCTGTGTCGCTGGACTCCCACGTAGTCAACCACGGTTTGAGTCCCAGACCCGGTGGTTTAAACTCATGCCAGGCGCGTGTGCGTGCGTGCCCAAGATCTTGAGAGGAGAATGGAAGAGAATGGATTGCAGCGTGGCCATCCCCCCTGGGGGGCAATCTCTCCCTTTCTGTTTCTCTGTCTCTATCTGGCGAGCACATGTGTCCTATAGCAAAAACCTCTCCAAAAAAAAGAAAAAAAAAGTTATCCAGTCTTTAGGAACACAAAATTTTATGGATTGTCTCCTTTTTGATTATATGGGAAAGACTATTATGTACGTAGATCTAAGTAAACTGTCTTTTTTCTTTTTCAAACAAGCAGATAGTCAAGGACAGTAGTTCCTCTCCATTTTTGAGTTCAACCTTTGAGGGTTCAGTGACTGGACATAACAATTGCTAACTGTTTTTGGATGTTCATTTGTCTTTTGCCCACCTACCAACCTGTAGTTAAGAACCTCTGCCTGGGCCAGCCCATGACCTGGTGGTTAAAGGTGGCTGGATCCTAGGGACCAGCAGTTAACATAATGGCTATGTCGCTGGACTCCCACGTAGTCAACCACGGTTTGAGTCCCAGACCCGGTGGTTTAAACTCATGCCAGGCGCGTGTGCGTGCGTGCCCAAGATCCCGAGGGGAGAATGGAGGAGAAGGGATTGTGGCATGGCCATCCCCCTTGGGGGGTGATTCTCGCTTTCTGTCTCTCTCTCTCTCTGCCTGGCAAGTGCATGCACCCTATAGCAAAAAAATAAAATAAAATAAAGGTGGCTGGATCCTACATGGCTGACCACATGGTTTGAGTTCCAGACCTTGTAGTTTGAAAAATACTCTGGGTGCATGTGCATGCATACCCAAAATCCCAAAAGGAGAATGAAACATACCAGGGAGAATTCATTCAAATAGAGTCCTGAAGGTTGGGAAGCAATCTGATGTTTCATATGTAAACTGCTGCCTTGTTCCGCCTTGACTGTTCTCAGCTTGTCTGGTAGTCAGCATTTCATTTTAACAGCTTTGTCCTCCCAGCAGGTGGATGTGGACGTTGGAATGGTATCTTCCAAAGCTCTGTGATTTTCAGTGCTTCTTTGTTTCTAGTGTAATTCTTAGGTGGCTTTTGCTTTTTTCACTTCTCTTGTCAGATGCTGAGACCAACATTGGCAATGACTCCACACAGGAAACAGCTGAAGACAGAGACATGCTGATGTCATGTCGGCTGCAGAAGAGGGTCTCTCAGAGAGCTGACTCCTTGAAAAGACGCAAACTGGAGAAATACCAAGAAAACACTGGGAATATACGAGAGAAGGTTCCCAAAATTCAATATGCAGAGAAATCGTTCAGATGTGAAGAGTGTGGGAAATACTTCAGTTATTTTTCTTACTATCTTAGACACCAGAGGATCCACACTGGAGAGAAACCCTTTGAGTGTAACGAGTGTGGAAAAGCCTTTAATGGAAATGCTTCATTAATTCGGCATCAAAGGATCCACACTGGAGAGAAAGCCTATCAGTGTGAGGAGTGCGGGAGAGCCTTTAATGATAATGGAAACCTGATCAGGCATCAGAGAATCCACAGTGGGGACAGACCCTATCACTGTGCAGAGTGTGGAAATGGTTTCACCAGCAGTTCTGAGTTCGTTATACATCAGAGGATCCACACAGGGGAGAGACCTTATGAGTGTAGTGAATGTGGCAAAGCTTTTGTTGGTAATTCCCCACTAATTCGGCATCAGAAAATCCACACTGGAGAGAAACCCTATGAGTGCAATGAGTGTGGCAAAAGCTTTGGAAGGAATTACCATCTTAGTCAACATCAGCGAATTCACACCGGGGAGAAGCCTTATTCTTGTAAAGTATGTGGACAGGCCTTCAGTTTTCATACAAAACTAACTCGGCACCAGAGAATTCACAGTGGGGAGAAACCCTTTGACTGTGTAAATTGTGGAAAAGCCTTCAGTACTCGGGAGCAATTAAAAAGACATCTAAGAATTCATATTCAGGGGTCTTCGTATGTATGTGATAAGTGTAGAAAAGTCTTCACTAGCAAAAGGAATCTTCTTCAGCATCAGAGAATCCATACCAGAGAGAGACTCTTTGAATTTCGCAAGTATGAGAAAACCTTTAGGACTTCTTCCCAGCCAGGTCATCATGAACCTGTCCACTCTGGAGAGAAGCCTCTGCTGGACATGTGTCATTTTGGCCTCCCAGAATTTTTTACCCCTTTTTACTGGTAATGGGACACTTCCCTAATGAATCCCATTTCATTCCACTCAGGTGTGGGGTGTGGCACTGGCATGGTTCAGCTGCATGTTCGTTATCTCAAAGCACAGTTACTGGTTCAGATGTCAGTCGGTAATCCAGGATAGGATGTCTAGTTGGCGTCCCAGGACCTGGCAAGAGAGCTAATAGAAGATACTCTTGTTTTTGCATTGGTTTAAAAGCTGGGAGAAGCTCTTGAATTCTTGTGGCAACTGAGAATAAAGTCAACACAGCAGAAGATCTTGAGAGCAATAAAAAAAAAATCAGTATCAGAAAATATGTTGGAGAGTAATCAAATCCTGAAGATTTTGTTTGAACAACTACATTAAACCATAGCTGAAACTAGAAATACATGTGTGGTTTTTTGAGGTTTTTGCTATAGGGTGCGTGCACTTGCCAGAAAGAGAGAGACAGAAAGCAAGAAATCACCCCCTAGGGGGGATGGCCATGCCACAGTTCTTTCTCCTCCATTCTCCTCTTGGGATCTTGGGCGGGCACACACACGTGCCTAGCATGAGTTTAAGCCACTGGATCTGGGACTTGAACTGCAGTCGACTACGTAGGAATCCAGTGACAGCCATTACACCAACTGCTGGTCCCGAGTGCCTCTTTGAATTCTGGTAACCACTAAATTGTTTGGGTTTTGTTTAGGAAGTTTGCATTACGTTTTCTTATTTTGGCACAAATTTTTGACTTACACAGCACCTTATCATGTAACGTTGTGAAAAGTCCTTAGGGATAACATACCTGATAATGGAGAAGTGTCACATGTATGATTTGTGGGAAAGTCATTAACGATAGTCCTGGGAGTTCCCAGACCTTGGGATTATAATGAGATTGGGAAGCCTTCGGTAACACTGTAAGGTTACCAGTAGGTAGAAGTTCTAACAGCTTTAGCGCTGTCACAAAACGTTGGTGTTATAACAAAACCATTCTTAAGCAGTCTTAACTGGTTCTTAGGTCCTCTCAGCCTTAGTGTCTGTGGCATTGAGATCTTGTTAAACATCCTTAATTCTTAACAGCATCTGAAAATGGGACCCAAGCCAGAGAACTGGTTCCCCTGAGGTCTTTTGGCTTTGAGAAGTGGGGATAGCTGAGTGATGTTTGGTCATTTCTGTTTCTCTGGACTTTCCTGTTGAGTAGTCTCCATGTTCCTGACTCCACTTACATTGTCAGGAAGACCCATCCAACTGAGTAACTCTTCAAGTCAGCAATGATTAGTATATTTTGTGTGGGTTGTATGATAAGTTGCTACAAATGTAATGGCTTACAAGAACAGAAATTAGGTCAGCTGGTGGCATGGTGCTTAAGATGACTGGATCCCTCATTGCATTGGTGTGGTTTGAACCTGGTACCCTGTAGCTTGAAAAGCATGCCAGGGACATTTGTATACATGTGCCCAAAGTCCTGAAAGGAGGGAGAAATGGAGACAGGATTGTGATGTGAATAATCCCCCTGGGAGGTGTGTTCTTATTTTGCCTCTCTGGCAAGTACAATTAAGATAAAACCAAATTTGTTCTCTCAAGTTCTGGAGACCAGAGCTTGAAATTAGTTTCCTTGGAAGGAAATCCAGGTGTTAACAGAGCTGCACTACCACAGAAGGCTCTAGGACAGAGTCAGTTGTCAAGCTTCTGGTGGCTGCTGGCATTCCTTAGTTTGTAGCCACCTCTTTGCTATAGGGAGTATGGACTCACCAGAAAGACAGAAACAGCGAGAAATCACCCCCCAGGGGGAGATGGCCACGCCACAATCCCTTCTCCATTCTCCTCTCAGGATCTTGGGCACGCAAGCACACGTGCCTGGCGTGAGTTTAAGCTGCCAGGCCTGGGACTCAAATTGTGTTCAATTACATGGGAGGTCCAGCAACATAGCCATTAAGCCAACTGCTGGTCCCGCCACCTGTCTCCTATCCCTGCTGTCCTCACATTGCTGCCTCTATGTGTCTAATCTCCCTAGCCTCCTGCTAGTAAGGGCATTTGTGATGGCATTTAGGGCCCACCCAGATGATACAGGATGATGTCCCTATTGCAAGAGCAATTTAGTCACAACTGCAAAAATGTTGCCATCTAAGATTAATATTCACAGACTTCAGGGAGTAGGACCTGATATATTTGAGTAACTGCTGGTCCCCCACTTTGCATTTTTTTTTTAATTACCTCAGTTAACTTTATTATTATTTTCCAGTTTGATCAGAGAGAGGCAGAGCGAGAGGGAAAGTGAGAAAGCAAGCCACCACAGGACAAGCAGATGGCATAATGGCTATGTTATTGGACTCCCAGGTAATCAGCCACGGCTTGAATCCCAGACCCAGTAGCTTAAACTCATGCCAGGCATGTGTGCCCAGATCCTGAGAAGAGAATGGAGGAGAAGATTGTGGCATGGCAATCCCCCCAGGGGGTGACTTCTCGTTCACTTTCTAGTGAGTGCCTGCACCCTATAGCAAAAACTTCTCCAAAAATAAAAGCAAGCCACCAGGTCTGGGACTTGAACTGCAGTTGGCTATGTGGGAGTCCAGTGCCTTTAACGATGCCACCTGTCAGCCCTGCCACTTTGCATTTAAGACGACTTTTCTGTAAGCATCACAGAATACTTCCAGTTAAATGTGTTTGTTGGGACCAGCAATTGGCATAATGGCTATGTCACTGGGTTCCCATGTGGTCGACCGTGGTTCCAGTCCCGAACCCAGTGGCTTAAATTCACACCAGGTGCGTGTGCATGCGTGCCCAAGATCCTGAGAGGAGAATGGAGGAGAAAGGATTGTGGTGTGGCCTTCCCCCGGGGGCGGGGGGGGCGATTTCTTGCTTTCTGTTTATCTGTTTCTGGCAAGCGCATGCACCTTATAGTTAAAAAAAAAAAATGTGTATGTCAAGGACTTAGGCACATGATTATACCAGGCTGCACGATAAGTACAGAATGTCTTAGTTGAGGAGTAGTGTGCAACATCGCATGAATTCGAAGTTCATTAGGAAGAAAGAATCAATGTGTAGGCAACCAGCAGCTTCTGCCAGAGTCCCTAATTGCCATCTAATAAATATTACATGTCTAAAACTTTGGATGGGGAAAAGGATTTTCATATAGACAGCTGGCTGTGCTATATGAAATCTAAATTTTCCTAACTCTTGGATAGGCACTATGCTTATTGCCATTTTGCAGGTTGGGAAGAATGAAATCCAGCAGGTTGATGGGTGGATGGAGCAGGCACCTCTGGTACCCTGTCACTTCAATTTGGTACCCTTGGGGTCTAGTTGCAGCTGTGGTGGAAGTTCTATGTGAACTCTTGCACTGCTTAGATACTCCACATGCCTTTTGACATCCTGCCTCAGGCACTTTTGTAGAGCTCACTTGGCTGTGAGCATAGCTTGGGAGAACGGGGTGGGGTGGGGGGTGCAAGTTAATCCCAGGAAAACCCTTAACTACAGAGGACAGGAGCTTGAGGATGAAGATCCCAGTGGATACACTTCTTTGTAGGGTCCCAGTACTCAGCATCAACCTTAAAAACACTTTTTACTGGCTTTACCTCTCTCACTCCACTGGCTTTCTGTCTGGTTTTCCAAGATTTTTTCCTAAATAAACATGTGCACCTGGGACCAGCAGTTAGCGTAATGGCTATGTTGCTGGACTCCCATGTAGTCGACCGTGGTTCGAGTCCTGGACCCAGTGGCTTAAACTCCCACCGGATGCGTGTGCATGCATGCCCAAGATCCCAAGAGGAGAATGGAGGAGAAGGGATTGCGGCATGGCCATCCCCCCTGGGGCGTGATTTCTTGCTTTCTTTTTATCTGTCTGTCTCTGCCTGTCTGGTGAGCGCACGTGCCCCATAGCAAAAACCTCTCAAAAAAAAAAAAACCCAAAACAAAACATGTGTACCCAAGCCCTTGACTCAAGCTCTGCCTTCAGGAGAACCCAAAATAAAGAATCAGACGGAGCTTTTAGGCAGTGAGAATGTTCTTAAGTACCAGCCATAGATATTACCAGCTGACTTGACTCAGGTATTAGCTGATGTGCTTGTGTGATGAAATCCCATTCTGCTTTCAGTAGAGACAATATTTCTGATTTCTACTTGAAGGAAGCTTCAGAGAACCCCTGTACTTGGGACACAATGGTTTCCTGTGTGGTACTGAAATACATCATTGTAAATAGAGTAAATGGTTTGTATAACTATCACTGTGGGCCCAGGAGCTAAAATTTGGTGAATGTGACAGTCATCAGCCTGTAAAAGGGAGCTGGTGATGCATGTCCCCTCAGATTAACAACTAATATGAGAGTGTGGATTCATAAAATACAAGAATTCTTAGAAGCTAAGTATGTCACATAAGATGATTTTGTAATATACTGAACAAATACTGACTCCTGCGTGCTAAGCAGTGGGGGGGTGAGAATGAAATGATGAGTGCACAGCATTTCCTGCTGCTACTGTCCTGCCTGAACACCACGTTGATTTCCTGGACCACGATAGTTTAAGTGGTCTCACTTCTGCTTTTGCATCCCCTGTCAATTGGCAAAGTGTTTTCTGTTTTTTGCTATAGGGCATGTGTGTTCCCTGGAGAGAGAGGAAAGAGGATAGAGAAATACTTCCATGGAGGATGGTCATGACAAAATCCTTTCTCCATTTCTCCTGTGAGGCTTTGGGCACACACAAACATGCACCCAGAGTGTTTTTTCAGACTGCTGGGTCTGAGATTCAAACTGCATAGTTGCTGTGTGGGATCCAGCCACCTTTACAACCAAGCCACGGAGCTGGAACCAGAATGTTTTTTATTGTAAAACATGAAACATATTGATATCCTTAAAACATTTCGATGGCTTCTTATTGCATTTGTAAGAAAATCCAAACTTCAACATGGCCTGCAAAGCTCTGAATGATCTCAGGGTGTACCACTTCCTCCTCCCACCCATGATGTGTCAAGCTATTTTTCTGCTCTAGGGCCTACTCACAAGGTATTCCTCCTGCGGACCAGCAGTTAGCGTAATGGCTAGGTCGCTGGACTCCCACGTAGTCGACCGTGGTTTGAGTCCCGGACCTGGTGGCTTAAAACATGCTGTGCGCGTGTGCGTGCGTGTCCAAGATCCTGAGAGGAGAATGGAGGAGAAGGGATTGTGGCGTGGCCATCCCCCCTGGGGGGTGATTTCTCGCTTTCTATCTCTTTGTCTCTGTCTGGTGAGCGCACACGCCCCATAGCAAAAACCTCTTCAAATACAAAAAAGTTATTCCTCCCGCCTGCAATACTGCTCCCTTGGTTATTTGCCCAGATCTCTCATTCTTCTTTCAGATCTTATTCCAAAGTCACTTCCTTGTGTAAGCCTTCCTTTACCTGAAAATTAAAAATAATATTCCCATGACATCTCTCCTAAACACCTTGCTCTTCATTACACAAATTAAGGTTGATAATGATGGGGCCAGATACATGGTGTTATAGTTAAAGCATTTGGATCCCATATGGCTTATTGCATGGTTTGGGTCCCAGACCCAGCTACTTGAAAATTATACTGCTTGAAATCTCACTCATTTCTTTCCCTCTCTGTCTCTGGCAAGCACACATGCCCTACAGCAAATTTAAAATAAAATAGCCATTGACACTAAAAATATATAGAAAGTTAAAGAAATGAAAGTTTACAATGATGTACCTAGATGCTAATATATTTAAAGCTTTTCTCCCCTACTACACACTATGTTCTACAAAGACTGTAACCTGATGCTTTGACTTTCCTCGTCTATAAAATGGATATAATAATGCTTTCTGCACCTTTTTCAATATGATGTGAAAGAATTAAAAAAGGAATATGAAATCGCCTAATAGCCAGTAAAGAACAATTCAAATGAAAGATGTTTTCATGGCACAGGAAAGCTGCATGCAAAGTAACTCATTCAGTTTAAGGCCGAATAAGACCATTCATTGCTACACATGAATTTTCAGTTTTTAAACATTATCTTTAAGTTGTCGTAAGATAATTTATTGTTACCAACAAGAACAAAATATAGTCCCTATCTTTCTCACTTTTCAAAGCCAAATAACTCGGATTTATAGAAATCTTTAAGATGTAAGAAAACTGAGAATCTTGGATTCACAAGAAAGCCTCACCTTTGGATTTTGATGCAGGGTGATAGGGAGTGGGAAGGTGGGCAGTAGGTGATATGGATCAGGTTCTGACAATTGAATTCAAAGAAAAGAGGAAGCGACAAGGAGTTGGAGATCAAGTGAAAAATACAGTCAGGGGACCAGCCCCAGATTGAAGAGCAATGGTTCTGAGGCCGGAATCAGGACCTTGGAGAGCTGCCCAAACACCCAGATGAGCCAGAACTAGCACTGTGGACAGCGCCACAGTCTCCCCATTTTCCACTGTAATGCCTGGATTTGGATGTCACTATAAAACGTTGCTGTGGGCACCACTAATTTCCTGGGATTTTTAACTCCCGTGTGACTGGTGATCGTAACCCTCCTAAAGTGGACAGTCTTTTAGAAAGCCCTTCATGTCAATAGTGAAGTTCGGACTCTTGCCTTCTAGGGAACGTTAGCATCTGAGCTGCTAATTGGACTCTCTTGGGAGCTCTGTGGGATTGGGACCCAGTACCATTGTTCTGTTCTGGAGTCCAAATTCCTTTGAATTCAAGGGAACTACCTGGTACCTGGTTGTGCTATGTAAAGAAGGATACTCAAGGCTCTTCCTAGGCACGAATTTGAAGCAAGCTATTAGGACATACAGGTGCAAAAGAGAGTACATTGTATTCAACTGGGGACAAGCTGCTTCATTCTTATTCATACCCTCTTCTCATTTGCTAACCCCCAACTTCTAACCTCTTTTAGGAAACCTACAGTGGATTGGGCCTACTTTCTGGTAAAAAGCTTCTGAACTTGTTAGCAAGTTTCTGTGAAGCTATGCAAATCAAACTTCTGAAGGAGGCCAGCACTGTAGCCTCTTTCCATTAATTACAATAATGTTATATTTACAGGCTTACACATTAATTTTTTTTTATTGACAAATATATAAGGATAATAATATCCACAAATAAGACAGAGGGAATAAGATAACATTAATTGAGCAATTACTGAATCCTGGGCCCTGTTGTGTGTACTTGAAGTGAAACTATATATATAGTATTTACAAGAACTATGCACTATGTTTTTTTTAGAAAGATTTTTTGCTATAGGGCACATGCACTCACCAGAGAGACAGAGACAGAGAGACAGCAAGAAACCACCCCTCGGGGGGATGGCCACACCATAATACCTTCTCCATTCTGTCAGGATTTTGGGCATGCACACACATGCCCTGCATGAATTTTAAGCCACCAGGTCTAGGACTTCAACTGTGGGACTCCAGCGATATAACCATGTGCCCAGCAGTTTCTCAAGTTGCAGGATCCAGGAATAGAACTGCATAGTCAGCCATATGGGATCCAGCTGCCTTGACCAGCATATCTGGCTGGCCTCTAATTTACTGCTAATCCCCTCCAGTGTAGTTTTCATTTCATATTATGAAATGGGATGCAGTTACAGTAATTTTTAAGTGCATTTGTACTCTATTTCTGTGCCGATTATTTTAGAAGTCTATCAGGATTCATTTTATTTTTTATTTTCACCATAGGGTGTGTGCACTTGCTGGAGAGAGACTTTGGGAAGAGGTATAGTGAGAAAGCACATCCTTCTCCCCCACCCTGCTCCAGGGAGTATGTTCATGTTGCATTCCTACATTCTTTCAACATTTTGGGCACGGGGACCAGAAGTTGGTATAATGGCTAAAAAAAAAAAAAAAAACCAGTTTTTTTTTTAGAGGTTTTTGCTGTAGGGCGTGTTTACTTGCCAGAAAGACAGAGAGAGAGAGACAGAAAGCAAGAAATCACCCCTGAGGGGGAATGGTCACACCACAATCCTTTCTCCTCCATTTTCCTCTCGGGATCTTGGGCACATATGCACACACAGCCAGTGTGTTTAAGCCACCAGGTCCAGGACTTGAACCGTGGTCGGCCACGTGGGAGTCTAGCGACATAGCCATTATGTCAACTGCTGGTCCTATAAATAAAATAATTCTAAAAAACAAGATGTTATATATTTTATCCCAGATTTCTAGATGTTAGTTTATATCATCCACTACATTGCTTGAAATAGAACTCTAATCATTTGTCTAAAGTTGTCATATCAATATAGCTGTGCCATTTTTCCTTTAGCTTAATACTTGTCTGGTCTTTTTTTCCACTCTTTGACTTTCAATCCTTTTGTGTTTCTAAGTTTTAGTTGTACCTTATAAATATATTTCATATACTATATAACTTAATACACATTAGTACATTTATTATATACAGTATACATTATTACATATTATATATACCATATGGCTACACCATCAGAGTCACAGAGCAAACTCAAGGGTGGCTTTTAGTACCGTCTTCCTCCCTCAGGGCTCATTCTAGGATTCTATGGGAGGTGATGCCAGGTGGTCAAGGTGCTGGACACCCACAAGGCTGAATGTGCTTGGAGTTCCAGACCCAAGGGTGTTATTTTGCCAGGTATGTGTGCCCCAAATCCCAAGAGAATCGAGGAGAAGGGATTGCGGCATGGCCATCCTCCTGGGGCGATTTCCCACTTTTTTTCTCTTTGTCTCTCTCCAGCGAGCACACGTTGTTTGAGTCCCGAACCTGGCAACTTGCTTTCTCACTGTCTGTCTCTGATCAAATTAAAATAAATAAATTAGAATAAAATAACTTTTTAAAGAGCTATTTTTAAAATTTTTACTAGTTATTTTTTAAATTTGACCAGAGAGACAGAGAAAAGGAAAGTGAGAAAGCAAGCCGCCAGGTTTGGGACTCAAGCCACGGTCAGCCATGTGGGAGTCCAGCGCCTTAACCACCACGCACGTGCTGGCCACAGAATAAAATAATTCTTAAAAACAAAACAAAAACCAGAAGGGGGCACTGAGCATGACAGCGTGTGACCCACGAGTCCTGTCCGGAAACTCCACACCTGGCTGCACCTGCAGCTTTCCCAAGACACACAGTGTGGGCGCTCCCCGGGTTGACTGTGCGCTCCACTCCGATTCCGGCCTTCCACAGAACCCAGATCCCGGAGCAATAACTGCCCTCGTGGTCATATCCTAGGGACAAGGGCGAAGGGTGCAAAGGTTCGGGTGGAGCCCCTGCGCTTCCGGAGAAGTTAAAGCAGAGGGCGGGGCCAGAGCACCACCGAGACTGTAGACCTGGTCCCAGAGAGGCCGGGCCGCCGCCGGCTGACGCACTTCCGGCCGCGCCGCGGAGCCGCCGGCTGCGGAGGTGAGTGCCCGGCTGCGCGCGGCGTGGGCGGTGCCCTGGCGCGAAGGCTGTGGTTGTGGTTGAGATTCCGCCACCTGCCGGGGCTGGGTCTTCAGAGGTCTGTGCTGCCGGGCGCTTGGGAGGGAGCACGGCGACGGTTCGGGGTCCTCTTCCGCCCCTCCTCGACTCCAGCCTCGGACCCGGTGGTGGCTGAATACGTTCCGTCCCCGTAGAAGGCAAACCCTATGGCACACCGTCGAGGCTCCCAGCATTTGGCACTTGATTTGTTCGGGGAAAATGTGTCGGTGCAGCAGGAGGTGGTATTTTCGGGGATGAAACAACTCGAGGTGATATCACAAGTGTATTGACACGCTAAGTTCGTGTCTGGACTTTTATCCATGGCATTTCAGTGTGGAGTTTGCGCGCCCGGGCTCCTGGCATAGGGCCGTGAATCAGGGCCAAGTCGGAACGTAGAAAAAGTTGAGCCCCCTCGCAGCCAGCCACCCGGGAGCAGGAGCAGCCGGCCTTTGGAGGGCACGGTCTCCTGGAGTGATGCCAGTCCCAAAGGTAACCAACTTGTCCCTTCTTTTCTCAGACTGTGGGGTGACAGTGGCCTGAAAATCACTCCTACAGCACAGTTACAAATTTTCTCAGTTCTAGCATACACAAGAAAAATAGTTCCAGAAGTGCTAATTCATTTCTCACGAAAGCCCCATTTACCACCTAGAGTGATATTCGGATACAGGTCTGTCTTTAATCTTAACAGTATTTAGTCAAAATACTGTGTTCCAAAGTTACTTAGTTCTTCTTTTTCCCAGTGCTGTGGTGATAAGGTTATGTTGTTCAGTTGTGGTATAGTTAGGCTTATTTGCTGTTGTTTCTATTCTGTTTAGGCCCTCACTTCCACCCGGTCCCGGATATATGTAACTATATAGAAGTAAAATGAGCACGCGTGACCATACCACCCAGTTGAGAGAGAGAAAATTGCCAATCCTCCTGTGGCGGACAGTGTGCTCCTATTTAGCCCTGCTCCCAGCCTTCCACTCTTAGAGGTAACATCTGTTAATGAATTCTGTGCTAATTATAGCCTTACTGTCTTTTAAATGATGTTCATCACATATGCATATATTTGTGAACAATGTGTTTATTTTTTTTGTTTGAGCTCCATGTAAATAGCATCGTGGTGTTAGTTATCTGAGACTTGCATAATTTAATATTATGTTCCTAAATTCCTTTGTGTTACGGGTAGTTTGCTGGGTAATGTGCCATTGTAAAAATTATATGAAAACTTATTGTTGTATTCTCAGTGACCACGTGGATTTTCCCAGTTTTTGCCATAATATTGTGCTGGTGTGAATATGTTTATACATATCTCCTACATATGAGAGTTTCTCTAGGATATAATTTGTAAGTTTTTCAAATTAGGCATGAATACTAAGTTTTTTTCAGACACCTTTGACATCTATTGTGTTGGACAGTTTGTTTATTTTATTAATGTATAAAAGATACTAATCTGTATCCTAACATTGAGCTTTATTTGCATTCATAGGTTGATTCCAGTCATATATATTTACTTGAATGAAAAACTGGAGTCTGTTGGTTAGTATTTAGACCTCCCAGATCTCTTCAAAGGTCTTGTGATTCTGGAGGACACTCAGGGCAGGAAGTGGGGAGCATCTGCCTCCTCCAGGTGCCACCTCCCTGTAGCCTGACTCCCCGGAACTGTGGGCCAGGGCTGCAGTTCAGCTAGCCTTGCTTCATTGTGGTGTAATCGAGGATGGGGCTTGTTTAGAGAAAAAGAAGTGAGTCCAAGATCTTGGTAGTGTTCTGTCTCCTGAATTGCATTGTTGATACACGAGTCCTTGTTTTATTGTTCTTTAGGCTCTGCATACACCTGTGTATGTGCTTTTGCATGTATGGTATGTGTCTTAATGGTAAAATCCTAGGGCTCCTGGCAGAGTCAGTGTCCTAGCTGGGAGGAGTCCTGGGCTCTGAGCAGGGAACAGATCACCTTCCTCCTGTGGCAGCCCTGTTTGGATGAAGGCTGCCTGCACTCTGATCTTCTGGGAGGAGCTGTCTTGCTCGTGTGAAAGTGGCTTGCTCCACAGTTGTCTCTTTCTATTTCTCCTCAGTTCCAGCCCTTCTCTGAGAGGCCATCTAAGTGATGGCAGCCGTGCTCCTGACAGCTTGGCCCCAGGTGAGCTTTGGGCGCTTAGCTCCTCCTGGCAGTTTCACAGTGAGGAGAACTGAGAAGGGGAGCTGCTGGGCCTTGGGATGAGAACTGCTTCCACCTGCTGGATTGTGGGAAAGATGTGATATGGGTGGGGGGGCTGCAGGGGCAGGACTGTGAGGAGCCAGAGGCAGCAAGAGAGTGAATCCAGGGAGCAGAAGGTGGCCTCTGCACACCGGGAGGTGGGGGGTCCTTGTTCCTCTGTGCAGGAGTACCCCAGCTCTTGGTGAGCAGGGATGTGGAAGCTCTCATATATGAAGATCTGTGCCTAGATGTGATTGGAGGAGAATCACGGATAATTGAGAGTCTTGATGGCAGGAGAGAGGAGTAGAGGACCAGATAAGTGAGAAGGGTGGCCATGCTTCTAATCCTGGCAGTGGGGAGGGTGACATGGGGTCAAGGAGGGAAAAGACAGGCAGTCCTGTCAGGTAGAGTATCTCATTGTGTCCTTGTGAAGCTTTCAGGGCTTAGGGTGCAGTGCCCCAGCCTTTAGGTCTCTGATAAGGATCTCTACCTTGGCCTTCCTCCAAATAAACCTGCAAACCAAATTGATCATACATGTTCAGGGACTTCATGGAACCTCTGAAGCTCATCTTTGGACCTCATTGACTACAGGTTGGGAATAGCATAGTCACAGTGACACCAGGAACATCCTTTGAGGCTCACTCCACTGTGGGTCCCATGACAAGTTCTTTGCATGGCTCATTCAGTTCTGACAGCCACTCCCTGTGTTGTACTTAGTCTACTACAGAGGAAGAGAGTAACCTAGCCCTGGTCACAAAGTTGTGGGATTCATGATTGCTCTGCCATCTGACAGCTGTGGAGCCAGGACTGTTAACTTGGGCAGGTTTGGTGCAGCCATGTGTGGAGTAATTTTCAGGGCAAATGCAAAAGCAAAGTGACCACCACTGCTTCAGGTGGTGTGGGCTTCTTTAAGGAAAGTAAGGAGAAGGAATCAATTTAGATAATGCCTAGGATGTGAAAATCTTAAGGATGTAGAGAGTCAGAGGATTAGGGAAGGGGCAAGGAGAGGGGAGAATTGAGAGATTTCTAGCTGAGGCTTCCTGTGTGGATGGTGCTGACACCAGCTGAAGGATGAGTTCAGCGGAAGGTGGCACATGGTGAAAGCATTTAGGCATTTCATTTTGTGCAGAGAAGTTACCCTGTCTGAGGTCATGCAGAGGACCCACTGTAATGCTCAGAGTGGACTAGAATTTTTGGTGGGTGAATGAGGATATGGAAGCTGCCCTTGGGTAATGTTCTGTGCATGGATGTGATTGGAGGACATCAGTAGAATCAAGGAGAGTAAATCTTGGCGAAGAGGAGCTGAGAGGTGAATGCCACCAGTGAGTCCCCAAGGTTGATAGAGATGGTGGGGATGGACAGAGGAAGCCAGCTAGAGGCTGCAGCTGTGCAGACAGAGGAGCTGGGCATGGGAGTGATGTGCAGCATCAGTCGGGATGGCAGAACACGTGCAACCCTATGGCTTAGTGACAGAGAAGCCAGAAGGGTGGCAGCATAGCTGGCCAGTGGGAAGGCTGGCCATGACTAGTCTTCGGGAGTGGCTTGAGGTGTGAGTGTGAGGTGTGGGGTATGGAATGGGGTTGAGGTTAGGTGCGGAGGAACCAAGACCTCAAGGGGACACAGTGGAAACTGGTTGCGTTTAGGTACCGAGTCACCACAGATGGAGTAGCCTATCTAAAAGAGTGGAGTTACTTTAGGGAAATTTGTTTATAGGAAATTTTTTTTCAGCCTGGCTTATGTTATCTTTTAGAAGTATAAAAAATAGTATGAGTTTTTTCCTGGTGTTTTTCCTCAAATGTTTCCCTCGTTACTAATTTTATGACCATCACAAGCTCCCTCCCCCAGCCCTTATACTGCCCTCTGCCCCTCACTTAGGGCCTGAGCCATGGAATTGGCCCTGGGGCAGCAGGAACCTGTTGTTTCAGAAGTTGGTGACCTTTGAGGATGTGGCAGTGTACTTCACTCAGACGGAATGGGATGACCTGTCTCCTGCACAGAGGGCCCTGTACAGGGATGTGATGCTGGAGAATTACGGGAATGTGGCCTCCCTGGGTAAGGCCTCACTCTTCCTGGACCATGGAGTTTCCTGGCTTCCTTCTCCGTTACAGATTGGGTCTCTGGTAGTCCTTACTGAGTGGGAACCCCAGGACTATTTAATTCCCTAGACTTAAGGGTTATATAGGGTACACTCCAGCCCTTTGAAGGCTAGTGTAGGACTTTGCTGGGACTGTTGTGTGCTTTTGTGTTCAAAATACACTTTTGGACACAGCATGGGAAACTGTTAACCTCCTGTTCCACAATGATATTCTGTCTTCAAGTCCCCTTCAATTACCTGTATCTCTAGTTTTCCCAAGGATCTCAGTGGACTAAATATTTTAGGCCAAAGTAAAAAATGGTATCCTTTTGGGCAGAATTTCCCGGCTGGCCCTGCATGAGGTCTCTTGGGCTCATAGTCCGGACCCTTCTCAAGTCTTCTCACCCCTTTCCGAGCCTTGTCTCATCCTTCCTAAGCTTAACTTTCCCATAGGCCTTAGGCGTGGAGTCCCCCAGGGCTCTTACCTTCCATCCCCATTACTGTTGACAATCTAAGAAGAGGCTTAGGAACTCACCTGTGGGTGATTATTCATCTCTCTCTATTTTCTTCTCCTAAACCAGGTTTTCCGCTTCTCAAACCTGCTGTGATCTCACATCTGGAGGGAGGAGGTGATCTGGGGGGCCCATTTCCACTAGCTACTGGGACAGAAATAGGCTCCCAGGGCCTCTGGACTGGTAAGGGAAACATATTTTCCACGGAAGGGGAGAAAATAGAATTTCTTTACTCAGTCCTCATAAATTCTTAGCTGTGATAAATTCTTTTTTTTTTTTTTAAAGAGGTTTTTGCTATAGGGCATGCCAGAAAGACAGAGACAGAGAGACAGAAAGCGAGAAATCACCCCCCAGGGGGTTGGCCATGCCACAATCCCTTCTCCTCCATTGTCCTCTCGGGATCTTGGGCACACATGCACACATGCCCGGTGTGAGTTTAAGCCGCTGGGTCTGGGACTCAAACCATGGTCGACCACATGGGAGTTCAGCGACATAGCCTTACACTAACTGCTGGTTCCTTAGCTGTGATACATTTTTGTCAATAAAAGACAGATTAATGGGGCCAGTAGGTGGCATGGTGGTTAAGGGCGCTGGACTCCCACATGGTCGACTGTGGTTTGAGTCCTGGACCTGGTGCCTTGCTCTCTCACTTTGTCTCCCTCACACTCTGTCTCTCTCTGGTCAAGTTAAAAATGAATAAATAAGTAAAATAAAAGTTAAATTAAAATTCTTTAAATAAATAAGTAAATAAAAAATTAATGAGAACAACAGCAGAAGTTTTATTTTAATGCAAACTGTGCATATCACATGGGAAAAACCTTCATTCAGAAGTATCCCCAAGTAGTGTCTCAATGTCTTCTAAAATACTGCATGGCAAACCTAAAAAAGACATGTACATTTTAGAGAAATGACAAGATAAAATAGTCCTAGGCTGTCAAAATGCAGGAAACTTCCGAAGAAAATATATGGGAAGAAAGTCTGTTCACAGACTTCTCTTTACTGGCATCAGCTTTGGACTGATGAGCAAGCTCTCTTCTGCTAAAGAGAATTTACATCTTGGTTTTGAGGCAGGAAAGGGGGAGAAGAGGTAGATAATTACTGTGTTTCTTTCACAAGTATTTTTCTGGCCTGTCTTAGGTAAGAAAGGGCAGCTAAGGATGGCCCTTTCTGTAACTGCTGCTTTTTAGTTGTGCTCAGCTCAGGACTATTTATATAAAGGAGGTATATTTTGAGGTAAAGTATTCTGGTTTCCTTCACTGGTATGTGGGAAAGTTTAACTCTTAAGGAAGAAGACTACTGGGTTATAGAATTGTAGCAAGTGATCAACTTCAGGATTGGGGGAGAGGTGTCGGGAAAAGGCAAGGTTCATGCAGCAGTATTCTGGAGGAATGGGAAGAGGTGGAATCAAGTGGACCTTAAATAAAGCCCTTCTGAAGTGCAGGAAAAAGTCAAAGGAGGAATTTTTTTTCCTGAATATTCATTATTGTCTAACATTTCTTGTTAACAATAAGAGAATTAAAAAAAGGAATTATTTAATTTCATTTATTATTATGTTTTTAATTTAATCAGAGAGAGAGAGAGAAAGGGAAAGTAAGAAAGCTAGTCACCAGGTTCAGAACTCAAACCACAGTCAGCCATGTGGGAGTACTAAACCTTAACCACCATGGTACCTGCTGGCTCCCAAACAGGAAATTTTAGGGAGGCTAGTGTTCAAGTTCTAAGAAAAGAAACAAAATTTTTTCCATTGGGACAGCAGATGGTGTAATGGTTTCATTGCTGGACTCCCACATAATCAATTATGACTCAAGTCCCAGACCCAGCAGCTTAAAACTCACACCATGCATGTGTGTGTGCCCAAGATCTCAACGGGAGAATGGAGAAGGGATTGCGGCATGGCCATCCCCCTGGGGGGTGATTTCTTACTTACTGTCTCTCTGTCTCTCTGCTGAGCACATATAACCTATAACAAAAATCTAACAAAAAAATTTTTTTTCCCTTTTGCTATCTGGTGCTGCTGGTACTTGTCACACCCAATGTTGCCACTTGTAGGATCCTGTGCCATTTTGTTCTTAAGAAATTTTCATAATTTTTAAGGAACTCAATATGTCATAGTGACAGCTTAAAAGAAATTGCAGAGTAGAAAAGCATGGTGTGATGGAAAGAATCCTGATCTGGTGAAGACTTAGAATTTTTTTCCACTGTGATCACTTTTAACCTTCATGTTATTGGTTGTATCCTTCATAGTGACTTAAGGCAGAGTGAGATAGTGATCTTTTATTAGCACTGTTTTACAGTGTATAACACTGACACATGTTCAGAATGATACAGAAAGTGTATAAAGTAGGGAAAAAAAAGTCTACCAAATTTCCTGTGGCAGTTTGCTAAGTTTCTTGTGTATTCTTTCAGAAATTTTCTAGGTTTAAGCAAATA